GTATGTGGCTGATGCCTTAGCCACTTGAGCCACAGGTGCCAAGCCCAGAAGGTCTTCTTAAGGCCACCCCAATGATACACCTGCAGGGTCCTCTCCATGATGACTCAGCTCTTAGGAATTTGTAAACTTAACTTCCTGGGACCTGGAAATTTCCACTTCTGTGAAATCCTGTAGTTCTGTGGGAGCTGGAACAGCATCTCCCACTTGATTCAAACTGACCAATGAGAAAGGTACCTGTGGGGCTCAGCTCCCATAGCACAGTGGTTACTGTGCCAGCCACATGCACCAAAGCTGGCAGATTTGAGCCCAGCCTGGGCCAGCTAAACAAAAATGACAACTGCAACAAAAAAATAGCCTGGCGTTGTGGGAGGCACCTGTAGTCCCAGCTACTTGGGAGGCTGAGAATTGCTTGAGCACAAGAGTTTGAGATTGTTGTAGTTGTGATGCCGGCACTCTACCAAGGGCAACATTGTGAGACTCTGTCTCCAAAAAAAAAAAAGAAGGAAAGAAGGAAAAGTATCTGTGGGTTGGAACTTTTAAAATGGCAATAAAAAGGGAAAGACCAAGCTAGTCGGGGAGCACGGCCATTTTGAATTCTTCTATTCCAGATCCTCCCGCCAGCTGAAATAAAAGCCTTTTTACTCTTAAATATGGTGTTTGGGTGCTCTTTCTCTCCATTGGGCCTCATCTTCCCGCAACCTTGCCACTAAGAAAAAATCAGTAGGGACTGAAAGGGAGGCACTTCGACCAGCAGAGATCTCACAGACCACCACGGCTTGTACGAAAGGTCTTTATTGGTGGGGGAGGAGGGCTGCAGAGCAACACCAAGGAGGAGAAATGGAGAGAAGAGGAGAGAGAAGTGGGGAGAGAGATGACGAGAGAGTGGAGAAGAGAGAGGGAGAGCAGAAAAGAGCGAGGGGGGAGAGGGAGAGGGGAAGAGAGACAGAGAGAGAGAGGAGAAACGTACCCTTAAATAGGGAAGTCTCAGAATGGTCACCAGATGGTGGGATAACCAAAAAGGAGTTTTTGCTCCGGAGGAAAGAGTCATTTGGGGCGGGCAACAGGAAATTGGAACAGGGTGATGAGGTAAGCGGGCCTCTCCCTATGCTTGGGAGGAGTTGTAACTTTAAGAGTAGGAAGGGACTTTTGGGGGAAGGGGCTTTCTGTGCAATTATCTAACAGGGACATTGTGTGGTGCCATGTATTTTACAGCTCTATCACACGTTCAGTGAGCACATGTACTGGGTTTCAGATCTATACTAGATGCTTGGGACACATAGGGAATAGGGTTGCCAGCTGCTCTGAGTATACAGGACTGTTCTATATTTATGAGTACCTGTTTGGTACTCATAATGTGAAGGTGAAAGAAAAGCAAGCCTAATTCCTTTTTTTTTTATTATTAAATCATAGCTGTGTACATTAATGCAATCTTGGGGAACAATGTGCTGGTTTTATATACCATTTGAAATATTTTCATCAAACTGGTTAACATAGCCTTCACCACATTTTCTTAGTTATTGTGTTCAGACATTTATACTCTACACCAGGTGTCCTCAAACTACGGCCCGCAGGCCACATGCAGCCCACCTAGGACATTTATCCAGCCCGCCAGGTGTTTTTGCCGCAGCTGCCTGTGCTGCTTAGCAGTCGACTCGTTCTGGGGCCCACAGTCCAGCCCTCCAGTGGTCTGAGGGACAGTGAACTGGCCCCATGTTTAAAAAGTTTTAGGACCCTTGCTCTACACTTAGTAAATTTAACACATGCCCTTGTAAAATGCACCATAGGTGTGGTCTCACCAATTACCCTCCCTCCAACCATCCTCCCCCCTCTCCTCCCCTCCCTCTCCTCTTTCCCCTTCTTCTTGGGCTATAATTAGGTTACAGCTTTCATATGAAAGCTATAAATTGGTTTCATAGTAGGGCTGAGTACATTGGATACTTTTTCTTCCACTCTTGAGATAATTTGCTAAGAATTTGTTCCAACTTCATCCATGTAAACATGAAAGAGGTAAAGTCTCCATCTTCTTTAAGGCTGTGCATAATATTCCATGGTGTACATATACCACAATTTATTGATCCATTCATGGGTCAGTGGGCACTTGGGCTTCTTCCATGACTTAGCAATTATAAATTGGGCTGCAATAAACATTCTGGTGCAAATATCTTTGTTATAAAGTGATTTTTGGTTTTCTGGATATGTACCTAGTAGAGGAATTGAAGGATTGAATGCAGGTATATTTTTAGATCCCTAAGTGATCTCCAAACATCTTTCCAAAAGGAATGTATTAGTTTGCATTCCCACCAGCAGTGCAGAAGTGTTTCCTTTTCTCTACATCCACACCAACATCTCTGGTTTTGGGATAACTCCATTTTGATATAATTCTTATTCCTGAGTATCGGTGGGAAGGCAAAGCAGGCCTGATTTCATTCTGTTGTTATGTTACATTTTATTGAATATAAAAAAACTGGTTCCATTTGCCTCTCTACCCATTGCATGGTATTTTAAGTGTACCTGGTTAGAACTGTTAGAATTATTAGTATTGTGTAGAAAGTCACTAACTATCCTTGTGACAACAACCCTTGTGATTATGTTAAGGTAGTCTTCATGCCATCTGTAGATATGGAAATGTTAAAAGAGCAAGTTTGACTCCACTTTACTGTTTACTCCTTTTCTGTTATATTCCATTACCTTCAAAACTGGTTCCTCTTGTTTGCTCTCCCATTGTATAACTGTGAACGCATTCAGCTAAAATTGTTAGTGATGTAAGTTACTGACTGCATTTGTGATTATGTCCCTGGTGATTGTCACCTTTTATGATCATGCTGTTTATAACTTTCACTGGTGAGTCCCCCTCCCTACATTACCTTAGGGCATTGTAGATTGTACCTGCTTTTTAAAGAGAAATTACTAATTGCTCTCGTGATTATAATATTGTGTAAACAGACTAAGCCGCCTTATCCTCATGATTTTCCCTAACTGCTGTTTTCATTTATGTGATTACATTTACTTGCCCCCTGGAAAATTTTACCTTATAAAAGTCAGAGCCTCAGATAACTCAGGGCTGCTCTCAGAAACCCCATGTTGGGACACCAAAGCAGTCACCAGCCAGCTCTTCAATAAAAGGACTCCTCTTTAATTCAACTTGTCTGGCTGTGTGGTCTTTGGGGGAACTCCTGGGCATAACACTTGGAAGAAAGACAAGTAAATAAATTTCACTGTGAGTTTGGCCCTGTGATTTATTGTCACTTATTTGGCTGCATTAAAACTCACAAAATACTTCCAGGGTTACCCTAACATGTGTTTCTCCTTCCTGCTGAAGGAGCTAAAGAAATTTCACCCCCAAATATGACTCCTTGGTATATATGTATGTGTGTGTATGAAGATACACACACACACACACACACACACACACATATATATATATATAGGTAGAGACAGAGTCTCACTTTATCACCCTCAGTAGAGTGCCATGGCATCACACAGATCACTGCAACCTCCAACTCCTGGGCTTAGGCGATTCTCTTGCTTCAGCCTCCCCAGTAGCGGGGACTACAGGTGCCTGCCACAACGCCTGGCTATTTTTTTTGTTGCAATTTGGCTGGGTTCGGGCTGGCACCCTACTTACTGAGCCACAGGCACTGCCCATAAAATTTTTTTTTAATTAAAAGGCCATTCATGATCAGAAAGCACTGGCTTCTCCCTTGTAAAACCTGAGTGACCTGATTTAGGTCACTAAACCCGAGTGACTGGCCTTTTCTGATTCTAAATCAGGTCACTCAGGTTTTATAGGTCCTCTGAGGTCATTTGAAGCATGATACCTATCTCTCAGGTTAATTTACAAATCAATCTGTTTCCACTCATCTACACTCTCCACTCCTAGCAACCACTTTCTGAACATACACTTTCCAGTTTCTCTCCCCTCTCCCTTCAAAAAGGCATCTTTAAAAGTCACTGACCATTGCTGAGACTTTGGGTAATCATTCTTGTAGTTCCCCCCATGCACATGATATTTGGCAATAAACCTTTCTCTTATTAATCTACCATAATTGTGAGTTGATCTTTTAGAGAACCAGATAAAGGGGAAAGGGTAGGTTTCACTGTGATCCACACCAGCCACGGCTCTGCCTTCCAGTCATGGCCTTGCCTTCCAGCCATGGCCCTGCCTTTCTTTGTTGTATTGGACCAAACATATTAAAGTAGCTGCTGCTGCTTCTTCTTCTGAGACAGAATCTCACTTTGTCACTCTGGGTAGAGTGCCCTGGCGTCACAGCTCACAGCAACCTTAAACTCTTGGGTGCAAGCGATTCTCTTGCCTCAGCCTCCTGCTTGGCGGGGACTACAGGCACCTGCCACAACGTATTATTATTTTTAGAGACGGGGGTCTTGCTCTTGCTCAGGCTGGTATTGAACCTGTCAGCTCAGGCAATCCACTCGCCTGAGCGTCCCAAAGTGCTAGGATTACAGGCCTGAGCCACTGCTCCCAGCCTATATTAATGCTTCTTAAACACACTCCAAAGCTTAACTCTTCTCTTCCTGGGTTTGAAAAGCGACAGGATAGCTGACGAATATGAGTAGACATCGTGTCTCTTTATGTATCCTGTGTTCCTTCGGATGCAAGTTCTTGGTAATTTGCTCTGCTTCGTATAGTCTGAACTAACAGGTCCCTAAATTTCTGTGAGTACCCTAGACTGCACTCCAAGAAAATCTGGACACGTGCTTTTAAGATCAAGCCAAGTCGGGTCCTGTCTTAGGAAAAGCGACGCTTGGTTTCCCTCCGTCCCTCAGGATACAAAGTGGACCACATAAAGAGAGATCAATTCTCCAAGACGTGCCCGGAAGCAAAGTGGAAATGTCACAACCCAGAACGCCAATGAAAGCTTATGAAGGGCCGTTTACGTAGCGGCGCAAACGTGGGGGTGGGACGTTCTGTGTTACTGGTGGCGGCCATTTTGGTCCCTCTCTAAGGCTTGTGAAGCGCTTGTTCGTCGCCGGGGTAACGGAGCGGAAAAACCCCAGAAGCGGCTCGGTTCCTGCAGCTCAGGGGCGGACGTGAAGCTAAACTAACAGGGACCTGGAACGGCGGTGCCCTTCTGGTTTCTTTCTCACCGCCGCTCCTGGTCCCCCTCTTCTAGATGAACTGGACTCAGGTGGGTGCGGCGTTCCCGACCCGACCCACTTCCGAGTGTGGGGCAGCCACTGTGTCGCGCGAGGAGGGGCGTTTCTGCAGGCTAACGAGCGTTTGGTGCAGCCTGGACTAAAATGTCAACCCGGGCAGGCGGGAGACGTGGAAGGTTGTGAAGGGAGGGTGAAGGAGGGCATGCCCGGAGTTAGAAGTTCACAGTTGAGAAAAGGGTACACGGACGTACGCGGGGGGGCGGGGAAGTGCACAGGAAGACGGACACGTGCTCGCAGAGACAGTGACAGGAGCGGGGAGACCGGGGTGGCCACTGGGTGATGGGAAGTGATACTGGGAATTGGAGACAGGCGCAAGGAGACGGGAACCAGCTTACGGAGTCGAGAAGTGACACAGGGAGACGGAGATGGGCACAGGAAGATAGGAAGTGACTCTGAGAGTCGGGAACGGGCACGGGTAGATCAACGAAGAGGCCACAGTAATAGACTCCGGAGAACTGGTAGGGGCTGGGCCCTAGTGTTGAAAGCGAAGAAGAGATGTGATTAGTTGATTTTGTAGATCTGAAAGATAAGCCCAGCAGGTTTTCCAGTCCATTAGCCATTCCTGTGAGCAAAAATAGGGACTGTCAAGAACCATTCCAAGGGTTTGTTTTGTTTTGCTGAGTAATTCTAAGAATGGGTCTGAGGAAGGGAGCATAGTGAGAAGGGTTCAGGAAGATCATAGGTTGCATTTTGGATATGAGACTCTCAAATGTGTCCAATATGTGTATGTCCGGCGGCGCCTGTAGCTCAGTGGGTAGGGTGCCAGCCACATACACGGAGGCTGGCGGGTTCGAACCCGGCCTGGGCCTGCTAAAACAACAATGACAACAAAATAGCCGGGCATTGTGGTGGGCATCTGTAGTCCCAGCTACTTGGGAGGCTGAGGCAAGAGAATCACTTAAGCCCAAGAATTTGAGGTTGCTGTGAGCTGTGACACCACAGTACTCTACTGAAGGTGACATAGTGAGACTCTGTCTCAAAAAAAGAGAGAGAGAAAGAAAAAAATAGAAAAAGGAAAAAAGAAAGTGAACCAGAA